GTTCTTTTAAGCAATACTCGTATTTCATAGTATTTTACGTTATACCATTGACTATTGGATACAGAAGTTGTTGTGTTAATAGTCAAAAGCTATACATAACACATTGTATTTATATATTTTTTAGATACTATATAGTTTTCAAGTTTATTAAATTTAGGTAGTAAATGTTGCAAAACTTTAGTTTTAGGCGTTTTCAAATATTTTACTTAATGTGGTCTTTAGTAGGCCTTTTAATCTCACAAAGCATGCTTGTATAATAAAGAAAAAACAATTTAAATATGTTCTCTTATTCATTAAGAGGATATTTAAATTAAAGGGAATATTAAAATTGAAGAACTATAGTATTAAAGTAGCAGGTGAATAAGGTTCTTACTAACAAAAAACAAATGCTTTGAAGTTTTTAAACTTCAATATAAATCATCATTAATTATTGGTTATTTCATACTTAACCTGCAATAAAAAATATAAAAAAAAAACAGTCTATGAGTTGAGCAAGGTTTATTTTTTCGTAGTAAAGCCCATTCAGTTTAAATTAATGCACGCTGAAGGGTTGGCAAGATATAAAAAATGTTGATAAAATTATAACTTTTTTATTGTAGGTATACTTCTCCATTTTTTTTTATTTTTTTTTATTTGATACTTCATTTCAGAAACACTTTGGACTAGGTCCAAGCATATCAATGGCAAGAGTAAGTTGTCATTGTTATTCACTGGTAACTCCGCTAACATGGATCACACACTGAATTCCAAGTACAATCTCTAAAATCCCCAATTTGAGGTAGAGAAGAGTATTTATCGCAAGGCTTGGACACTTCCATTGTCAACTGTCGATTGTCCCTTGATACCCCCTTTGTGTGCTGAGACAATGACCTTATTATAGCAGATACCCGTCCTGCCCACCATCAATGTTCAAATGTAACCACGGGTGTCTTGTAATATGGTGTCAAATGAAGCTCTAAACCGACATATCCTGCCATAGGAGCCTAGACGTTGTAACTCGTAAAACAAAACAAAAAACTACAAAGAAAATTTCTTATCCCACAGTTTACCAGGTATTGAAACTGCAATCACTCTGGTGTACAAAGATATTTTGAGATGGTAAATAACTCTTCAGCAACTGTTTTGAATTATCCAAGATGGCCGCCAGCCTCCAAACATTCAGGAACTAAGGAAGATGTTAGTTTTAATCGTTACCGACCAAATGCTTTACTGGCAGAAATATTACTAAACTGTTTCCTACTCCTTGGTATAATAAGCAAAGAGGGTATTGTTCACAAAATAGCACCGTGAAAATAGGATACGATCATAAAATTGACATAAACTTACAAAAGTACAAAACTTACTGATTGTTATTTACTGATCGCTCCTTTATCAAAATAAACTCCAGATTTCACAATAGGAAGTCTACTTCCTCTATCAAAAGACAATGCTCTTACTTTTATCTATCATACAGATTATAAATACAATTCTAACTTTATTCTAGCAAAATGAATAGTAGACTTTCCCAATTAATATGGTATTTTTGCTTGTGGACCCAGTTTCAAAAATATATTCACTTTAACTATTGTAAGATAATATAAAGTACTAATAAATGCTACAAATAAAGAATGTGTTTATTATTCAACAAGAGTCATCATCACCACAACAACAAACTAAATTATAAAACATGTTAAATGCAAAGGTATATGAATGACACTACAACTATTTACTTTATTCTGGTTTGTAGGATATATTTAAATGATACCGATAGTTGTTGAACTTCTTAAAGTGCATCACTTTCACGAATATAATATCAATAATATATTTGTTTCGATACAAACAGTTAAAGTTTTCCTTTATTTAGGTAAGGCAAAAATTGATTGTGGTGGAGCAGAGAGGAATATAAGACTTAGAGAAAGACCGAGTTTTGACCGCAGCTCGAACTTTAGAGAGTGAAAAATCGTGTAGTGGTTATTTGGTTTTAGCTAATTGTTTTTTTTTTTTTTTTTTCATTCTAGTTTTATAAGTCGTTATTAGATATCAAAACGCTAACCTAAACCAAGGGAAATGTGTAGTCCTATTAGAAATAAACAAAAAATCTTCTTTACCTAATTGGAAATAAAAAAACCATATAATGTGGGATCATATATCTTACCTTCTTACCTTTGATCTTACCTAATTATGGCTTTTATTTTGTAGGCTTATTCTTTTTATTACAAGCATCAGAAACTATCATTTTTTATATTCATATTAAGAGTATGTTCATCGAGGGGAGCGAAGCGAAGTGAGCGAACTCTCAGTACACTCCTTCTTTTGTTTTACAAATACTCCTCTTGAACGGCCGAAGCGATCGGCGCGAAATTTAGCACAGCCATAGCAACCAGCCATTGCAAGGTATGAATCTAAAATGGTACAAATCGGACAACAGAACTTTTCCCAACTTGAATTTAAACTTTTAGAAATTTAACATGGGGGGGGGAATTCGTATGGGTTAATTGGTTGCCATGACGGTATTATTTGCAAGATAATAATATAAAGGTAAACAAAAGTTGTAACATGTGTTTATCAATAAATCATCGTAACTATCACATTACAAAATAGTACAAAAGGGAAGAACAATCGAACTGATACAGTTGAGCATTATTTGCTACATAATGTATAACCAATAAGGAATATAAACCATAGGCTTTTGATATTACAAGTAGACATTTCATTTACATGAACCAGACGTACAATTTACTTTGAATACTGCACATAGGTATTCAATTAATGTGAACCAAATATATCATTAACTTTGGATAGCCCACAGCAATAAGACATTAGATTGACGTGAGCCTGATGCAGTATTTACTTTAGATAATAGAAGTATAAATATCCTATGTACAAGAAACAGAGACATTGACTTTGGATACTGCAAGTCGACATTTAATACTTATGTAAACCTAATGAACTATTGACTTTTATACTGCAAGTAGACATCCGATTTACGTGAACCAAATGTACCATTGACTTTAGATAGGTACTGCAAGTAGACATTCTATTTATTTGAACCAGACGTGCCATTGACTTTAGATACTGCAAGTAGACATTTAATTTATGAGAACCAGATGTACCATTAACTTTAAATACTTAAAAGAGACATCTAATTTACATGTACTAGATTTAGCATTGACTTTGGATACAGTAAGTAGACCACATGAATGTCATTAATGTATAACAGACGTTTTGATTAATATGCTTGCTCCGCTCAATATTGCAAGCAGACAACTGCATTGTACACCAAGTATTAGTAGAGTATTAAAATCGCAAAGTATAACAACATGTTTACCTTAAAAACTATTACTATCAATAGACTTTACAGATCCTATACATGTAGGGGTGTATATTGCAGATGGTGTATATTATTAGTATATCAGGAAAATCCTCAACATTTTACCTCCTCAGTCAAGTATGCCTATTTAGAATAATAAGTTTAAATGAAAATGTATTTCAATGATATTATATTAGTTATTTTAGATAAAAGATAATTGTAGAATATGCTGCAGAAGAGAGCCATACTATTAAAGTGAAATAGTTAAAATCTATTAGGTTGCTACTAATATCCTTGACCTTGGTTATATTCTGTTTCACCTCATATACACACTAAACACTTAAGGCCAACACTTCTTATTTATGACAGTATAAACTAAAAGCAATTGCCAGTAAAGTAGGAATAGGGAAAGTCGAAAAAGCTATTTATTTGTTCAATATTCTCTTTGTCTTTCACAAAAGCAAACTTAAACACCAAACTTCAAAACAGTGTTACTTCAAGCTTAGTTCGCGATACTTTTATGAAACTAAATTAGCATTGTTCTTACTTTCCTCTTGAAAGTATTTCCAAAACAAGTAATGAGTTTGTTAAAAGTTTCACGGTTCTCCCTAATGATTCATTTTCATACTACAGCGAAAGTTTTGTACTGCTATAAAGCTTATTGGCGGACAATCTATTACAAAAGGCTGTTTAAATTACTTTCTGAGATATTGTATGTATATATTTACAAACCTAGTGCTACGCATTACAAGCATGTAGGGTATTGCAAAAAAAACTGTGTAGCCTCATATAAGCTATAGTAGGTAATAATGCTAGCTATTATTAATTTCATTATTGGGATTAGGCTTGAAAGTTCAAATTTTACATCGTGGATCGTGGGTCACGTCTTGGTTTTATGGTTTGGTATGAATACAGCGACTCTGTAAATTAAACTTTTAATATCATTCATAGTTTTCTCCTTCATTAGTAACAAAAACACTAGATTTTAAGTGTTAATATCACTTTAAATTCACCGGCTCCTTCTTGGTAGGTGAGTCTAGTTAGTAAAAACTAGCTGCTGTACCCGTGTTTCGCAACGGGAAGATACCTAATCCAAACCAAATTGTTAAGTAGTTCTAATTTATTAACAAAAAGCCACCAAATGTTTAAAAAGAATATATATATTTTAATTGTCCTATTGTTTACATGAAACTTGATCAATAACATTATTTTCATAACTTACGATTATGAAATATTTTTTTATATAATCAATTACTTAGTTTTAGAATAAATAATCTATAACAAATTTTTAGACTAAACAAACCTACAACATAGTCTTGTAAAATAGTTTAATTTGTTTGGATCAGCTGTCTGAAATTGTGAAATAAGTATTTGGCAGTTTTGATTGACATGTCAACGCAAAGGTAAACATTGTGAATATTCTCATGCTTCCATGGAGACCAATTATTAATATTTACTTTTGAAAACCTCACCTCAAAACTTTGGACATCCAAAGAGCGTAGCCCAAGAGTAACTTAGGAAAGTGAATAGGCCTTTACAAATTCTCAGACATTGTGGAACACTTTTGTGCTTAATTTTGCTCTATTGGTTTAGTATTTTAGACGTACCAGCTGTCCAGATGGACAGACACCACCTCGATTTTATAATAGTAGGCTATAGATGATTCATAACATTCAGAGCAAAAGCAGAGTTCTATAGGAAATGAACTTGATTAACATACAACAGTTTTAATCACAAAACAAATTAGTACAAAATATGCAAATAAATTAATTGAAAGCTAAATATGTCAAGGGCATAAATATGATAAAAATTTGTTAAGGGTTCAAAATGTAGTAACTAGTTCGATTTTCAATTTTCTTCGAATATCTTTCAATAGAGGTTTAGGCAGATCAATTGGTCGGCTTGGACCAGCTCCTTTCGCTCCAATACTGGTTATTTGGAACAATTTTCCAGAATTAGGATAAGATGATTCAAACTCGTCATTCCAGTCCACTCGAGCACTGGTCACAAACAACGTACTGAGGTCCTTTCCGCCAAAACACACAGATGTCGGCTGCAGCACCTTATCTAACACTATCTCCGTCTCTGTTTTGCCGGTGTTTGGATCTAATCTTATAACCTGAAACACATATTTACTTACAATTTAATGGGGGTAGACTTCCGTCTCTGTTGGCACAAACAACCGAGTGAAAAAACTGATCGATATATCTATTATTCGATGTATCGTTTAGTTAGTTATGTAAGGTTATCCTAACTTCACTAACTAAACGATATATCGTATGAAACAATCGAGTAATCGATATTTTCATTCGGTTGTTTGGGCCAACAGATACTAAAGTCTACCCTTTAACGGGATTAAAAGATTTATTAGCTGCGAAATGTATCTGTCCAGTAAGTTTTACCCTTCTCCTACTGATTACTCACGTTATTTTTCAAAGTTTGTTGAAAAGAAAAAAACATAAGAAGAGAGGCTTCAACTTCAATACAGAAAAAAGTTTTGTTTGTTCAGATTATCGGACCGAATCGTTTTTAGGTAATTTTAATGTTATAGTTCAAGTAAAAAAACTAATAACTAAAATAAAATGAATCACTGATATTTCTTGGTAAATAACAATGATTCACCCATGACTAAATGGAACACTGCAATGATTTTTGGTCATAAGATGCAAATATAACGCAATACCTTTCCAGTTCCATAGATTGCTAACCACAGTTTGCCTTCAGAGTCAATAGTCATTCCATCTGGAAGAGAGTTCGGTTTGTCTTCAGTCCCAGCCAAACTATTCTCTTTCAAGTCGTAGAGAACTTTTATTTCTTCTGTTGTGCATAACAAACAGTTTAGATATACTTAAAAGATCGTCTATTTTAATTGTGCAGTCATTTTTGTATACAATTTCTTCATACAGCTTTGATACCTTAGATATAAATACTTAAATTACGGTTGTGTAAAACGAAACAAGTTGATGTAAGATTCAGCGTGTTTGATTCAACAATAGAATATAATTAAGTGATTATATCATAACTAGTGGCCTGTAGGGGCCATAGCCCCTAATTTAGACTACAATAAATAAAACCATATATAAAAAGACAAATATTCGAAATATTTTTTAAAATTATCAATTTTATGTTACTTAAAATTAACAGTGTTTCTTGTTTTATATCTTGGTTTTCCTTCCGTTGGAGTCGTAGGCTATATTAGTTGCTTCTGATGTGTCAATGAAATACAATTGTAAAATAATGATTGAATCAATAACACAAACCTATTGACAAATGGAAACGTGCACACGATTTGGCCTTAGCCCGGAGAACGACGAATCAGAGCTGAAATCATACAGCCAAACATTGCACATCTTTTCTAGTTTAAAATTGAAGATTTGTTTTGTAATCTTACGAATTCTCTTTTAGCTTCCATTTTGAGAACCAAATGTAAAGGTTAAAATTATTATTAATTATTATGAAGGCAACTCCCCATTTTGCGGTAGTAAGTCAGAAATATATCTATGCATTTGTCCCTGAATTTTAAGACAGTAAGGCCCAATTCCCGGAATCTCTTTTTGTGTAGCGGAAAGCGACGCAAAAGCCATTGCACTGTTGTATTGCCTTATGTTTTTTATGAATTTCGAATCATGTAACAGTTCTTTTAGTTAGTCATTTACTTGTGGTTGTGGCATGTCCATTGTGGCAACATGCGTTTAAATGTCCATTTGTGGCCTCCTCTGCGAAGTGAAATGTGCCACAATGCATGCAAGTGCTTTAAGAGGACCTAGATTGTGAGAAGCAACACTCAACTCATTTTCCAGCGTTCTTGTAAAGACAGGTTGTAAAACAGCTTCTGGATTTCTTTCACAGTTAGGCCCTACATGACGTTCTCTTTTGCATTTCTTAAGTCTGTTGAATTCCTGGACACTCTTCCACGTCTTTGCTTCACTCATTATAAAAACGGAAAACAAAAAAATTAAACACAATTCATTTTGAAATATTATTTTCATCACTCCTTAACGAAAGTAACTATTTTCGATAACAGCTGACATCAATGAAAGTAGTCGTTTCCCAAGCTCTAACTTAGGGCGAGGGAAAATCGATCAGCTGATTTTCCCTCGCTCTAAATTTACTTTCCCTCGCTCTCAAATAGTTCTCCATTTATTTACTACGCGCGCTAGTGTTTTGTTACGGTTTAATTTAATGATTTTAATCAGCTGTATGTATTTTTAAAAGTTGTGTTGTTCTTTTATTTTGATGTTTAAACAAAATGTATTGAGAAATATAATACGTAGGTTTCTTTTTAGAAGATTTTATTTTATTTTGATGTTCAATCAAATTAATTGAGAAATAAAATTGTTTTAATATACTGTGTTTGTGTATTTTTGCGTCGTGATGAAAAGTGTCGTTCATAACTCGTACCGAAAGTTATTATCCGGCACTTGCTCCATTATTCCCGTCCTCGACTTCGCCTCGTACGTGAAAATAGCTCTCACATACTCGGCTTCGCCTCGCACATGAAATTGGGGTTCCCTGTGTTCGGCTTCGCCTCACACAAAAACTTGAGCGCGCGCCGGAAAATGCCACTTTCGGTCCTAGTAATGAAATATACTATTACCAACATTGACTTTCGGAATAAATGTAAAAATTGCAAATAAATAAGTAACAGCTGACAGAATGCAGACGTTTTTCAGTCCCCATGCATTTCTTATGGTGGATATTTTACGTTATATCTCGTTTTCTGGTAATTTTATGGGAATTCTGCTATTTTTCCCGAGTCCCTGGGGTCAAGACCTTTAATTTAAGACCTCTCCCACTTTTCTGCGACTTTCCAGACGTCCACAATTTTCTGGTAAAAATTTGGTCTTACAGAATTATATATATAGATGGTATTTTAACGTTTTAAGACACTGATATACTTTGTGTAAGTATGCTAAGCTGTGTAAGTATGTGAGGTGAGTGTAGAGGTAGTTGACCTTTGTATCTTCTTGACAAAGGTCAAGGACATTTAAAAAGATTAATGATCAAGGACAGCTGGTCCCGTTTCTTACGGATTAAGTGCGGCATTTCCTCAGGGTCAAACCAACGACTATCTTGGACTGAAGTAGAGCACAGTAAACATTTTCTTCCCAGTTATAATTTTGTAACTACACATGAATTTACTTGAATTAATTTTCCTTATGTTCTGTACTCAGACACGAATGTGTTACATAATCTGAAGAGGAAAACACCTACCTATTGTACCATCTTTATCATCATATGAATACTCCGTCACTTTGAAGGTCAAGGAATCGACCAAGTAAAACTTGGTATTATCCAAACTCCACTCCAGGCCATTCGGAATTTGCATGCCTTTTACCATTTTAGTCTTCTTCTTCTCCATCCCAGTAAAATCCACCCGGAACATTTCACCCTTGTCTTTTTCAAACTCGTTTCCCTTTGGATCTGATTTGGTCTGTTTTCCCATTGTGCCTAAAACATATAATGGTGTTGTATAAGTTTGGTCTGTCCCCTAAAACAAAGATAATAAGTGTCACTGCTTTGCTATTGGGAAAATCTGAAACACCACTTCTTTTCTGAGCTACAGACTCACTAAAATGTACTCACATACGATTACAAATATTATAATAAACTAGCTGCTGTTTCTGTGCTTCGCAACGGGAAGATGTTCTATATCACTTAATCCAACACTTGTCAAGTAGTACAAATTAAAAAAAAACCACCAAATTTAAACAAAAAAGTATAACATACATTGTATTACTGTCCTAATGTTTACATAAAAATATATAAATAATATTCCTTTCATATCTTAAGACACTTTAATAAATCTAAAGTAGTGTCTAGGTTGATACAGCACCGGTTATAGAATAATTTTTTTTATCCATAATGAGTTACATAGTTTTAGAGTAATTAATGACAAATTTTTATAATAAATAAACCATAATTAGATGTGTGAAATTCATAGTATATTTAATTTGTTTAGATCACCTGACTGAAATTGTGAAATACGTATTTGGCAGTTCTGATTGTTTACACTGAAATGCCAACGCAAAAGCAACCATTGTGAGTTTTCTCATGCTTCCATGGAAACCAATTATTAATATTTACTTTTGAAAACCTCACCTCAAAACTGGTCCAAGGCGCGTAGCCCGAGAGAAACTCACGGAAGTTAGGCTCGTCACACACTGCGTCCGGTCCGGTAAAATCGGATCCGGCATGCCGGATCAGGTGAATTCGAAAACCATTAATTCAAATGGAAGTCCCCACACTGCATCCAGTCCGGTGCTTCAGGTCCAGTCCGGTAAAATTATTTCGGTCGAGAAGCGATAGGCTTCCGGCAAGCTTCCGACGCCGGAGAGCTCGCGCATGCGCAGACAACTTCTACTCACCTCGTGACAGTGACAGTGGGCACTGACAGTAGCAGCAGACGTGGTTTTGTGGTTATTGTTTACGCTGTACGACTTGTTACAAAATGTCATTGGAAGAGAAACTGATTGTGCTAGTACAGGCGTACCCTGAGCTACACGACCTAGGCCAAGAGGACGTTTAGCAAGGGCTGCTGCAACTACGAAGATCTCTTCACTGTCACTGTCACTCATTGCTTTAGGGAAATTTTGTTAACATAAACTACTGTGTGTTGTTGGTTAAACACTTCTTCAGGACTGGTCGCCGGAACTGGAACGCCTGATGCAGTGTGTGGAGATTTGCCGGATCCGGTGAAAAACACCGGATCCGATTTTACCGGACCGGACGCAGTGTGTGACGAGCCAATTAGGCCTCTAGATACGTGGGCAATCTTTGTGCTTAATTTTGGCTGTATCGGTTTAGTATTTTCACAGGTGGCCAGACAGATAGACATCTCAATTTTAAAATACTATAGCAGATAGATAGTCAATCTTAACAACTAATTAGTTACTGTTTAGGGTATGAACACAAGCTGTTTCTCACCAACCCACAGTCGATTGGATGGATCCACTTTGCCGTCGTTGCACCTCGACCCACTGTTCGGCTCATCTACGATGTCCATCAGGTGTACAGGAGTTACATTCACCGTGCTGGTTCCATCCCACTGTATCACGGCCAGGGCTCCCTTCAGAGCGACCACGAACAAGTCTTCCGTGTCCTTCACACGTACAACCAGCGTGACCGGCGTCTGCTTGCTGGGGTCTGAAACTGAATATTCACTATCTGATTATTGTATTTGTAAAATAACCATATTAATTATTGATACTGCCAATGGCATAGAACAGGTTGTGTTTTGTATGTACCAAGGCTCCCCTTGAAATATAAAATAAGTTGAAAGGTCGTCCATCGCTACGTACTATTAAAAGATCAATTGTCTGGGTAGCTGGGTAGTTAAAGTGCTCACCATCAAATATGAAAGTCGCTGGTTTTATTCCATGTCATGTTATTTTACCAGACCCAATTACCAGAAGCCATTTTGGATTAGGCTATCAATGATGCAATCTAACAACAGGTCAACAATAGTAATTAGAACGGCGTTTGAACCAGTCCCTTACAAAGAACGTTAATCAGTGCGACTGGCGTAGAAAGATGCAATAACAAATCCATCACTAGTATTGCATTTTCGGTAGGCCTAAACCATATAGAAATAACTGCGATTTTGTCTGAAAAAATTTCGTGAGTCCTGAGCTTACTAATCACAGTCTACTGTCTTTTACACCTGTTTGAGCTTTTAAAAACATTTATCCGTTTAATCCAATGATATGTCTGAAAACCGTCACAACGTTATTGTTATTAACAATTATACTATTTTTTTATTTTTACTTCAAAGACAATCAAAAATTAAAATGTGAAATAACGATTAATATTTTTAAATAATGTAATCTTATTAGAAAATCTAAGCTAGGTTTTGATATATGTTGATGTCTCACCAAGCTCATACGTACGTGGAAAAGTTCACGGTTGTAGCTGAAATCCTGAAATACAGCATAAAATGTCTGAATGACAAACTCTCATGACAAGTGTAATCCTTTGTGTGAAGATCAGCCAGATTATACTTTCTTATAGAAAAAAAAAACTGTGTTTGATAAGGTGAGCTTTATCCAATAATATATTTCTCATTACTGGATGTAGAATCGTCCAGTCACTAATTACAATGCATTTATTTTCGGTGCATTACTCACCTTTACATATTTTACATAATGATTATTTACCTACAAAAAATAAGGAAGGGAAACAATAGTATTTAAAACAAGAATATTATGAATGATTTTTGTCCCAACAAAAGCTAACTGTGAATGGATGCTCAGGCCATCGTGTATAATACTCTTCAGTTATACATCGATGGCTAAGGCGTAACCAAAAATGTAAACATTCGTATAAAGAAGTGGGTATTATCGGAGAGATAAGAAACAGGACACTTAGTTGGACTGGACACGTACTAAGAAGATAAGATGAACCTATCCTGAAAATCATGAACCCAGGCAACTGTAAAAGTAGAAGACCCAGGGGAATATCAAAAACTAGATGGTGGGATAATCCAGCAAGACATAAGATTCTTGAGAACTCAAGAAGAAGATGCTGAAGACAGATGGAGGCGCTATGTTGCTTAGTACCGACTGGGGTACAATCGGCTATAGAAGTAAGTAAGTTAAGTGTTACCAGCCTTTGATCGTAGCTTTGTGTATTGTGTGGGTCACTGGATCATACGAGTTGACGGTCATGTTCCTCATGTCCACGTAGTAGAGACGCTGGTGACCAGAGTCCCAGTACGGGCCCTCAGCTAGTACACTCCGCTCCTCGATAACCTCCATCTTGTATGAGGGACTCTGGAGAACACAAGTAAAATACATAAATCACATATTCGTTAGTTGTATTTATCCATTATTGTGTGCACCTCAGTCTTTTAACTTTATTAATTGGAATGTTTCTAGTTGGTTAAGGGATTAATCATCGGTGCAGTGATTCATGACCCGCCAATCACAAACGGCTCTTAGTTGTGAGATAATGCTACCCCAATAGCTCGTACAGGTGAGCTGAACCATGAACAAGTAGAATAAATAATATAGACTGTTAAAGGAAGGCTCCGGCATTCACCGCTAGGAGTGCTGTGTAGTTACGGCACACACCGCTGTAGGCGAGGAGCGCAGGAGCCGTATGCTACCAGAAGACGCTGCAGCGGTATTGGGTGTGTTAGTTACCTAGTGGTTAGCGTCTCAGACGTCTGTGCGGGAGGGACGGGTTCAACTACCAGCACATCCACAATACATACTGTATGTTCCCTAAAAGCGTTTAGGTACTTCCTACTGCAATTCCTCGTGAAAAAATTCCAGCAGCTCAGAAATCAAGAAAGAACATAAACAAGTGTTAAATCGAAACTCGACACATTTTAAAAAAACCTAGTTGAACCGCATATAAAAGAACATATGTAAAACATTTAGAATCATACGAATGACATACATTAATTTGGATAGTTATATTAAATTAATCCATTATGCAAGTACAATATACAACTAATTGGTATATCTTTCAGGGAATAAGCAGTTCAAATTTAATGTACGAAAAGGTATGAGTAGCGTTTTAAAAATAACATCAAAAAACTATATAACACACAGTTAGTGGGACAGTAAATTTGGATTATTGCAAAAGACATCTTACCTTAATTTTTGTGCAATGAAAATCTAATAACACAACATTACTCAACAACTTAAGAAATCTCTGGTTATAAACAAATACGTGAAATAAAATATTTTGATACTACACAAACAATGTCGGCACAAACTTATGAAACATATGATGACCAAATAAGAAAAAATAAGAAAATATATTTACACATAAAACCAAGTACAACTGTTGTACATGGTGGAAGGAAAACACATAGGTGAGCTATTACCGTCATATGCTGACGTCACTCAGTTTGCAAACACAATTTTACCAATTATAAAAACAATAACTATCAAATCAAAACAAATGTTTACCTATATGGCAATACAATCAGGTGATTTTTTTGTTTGCAATCTGGGTGACGTCAGCATTTGAAGGTAAAAGCACACCTATGTATTTTCCTTCCACCATGAATGTTATATATCAGTATTTTGAAAACCATCCCTTTGAAACACACGGGCAATCTTCAAAGTGAAAGTATAATCAAAATACAACAGGTAATTTGACAACAAAATATACATTTTAAAGTTCCCCTACCTTAATATTGGACACCATTTCGCTTTGCACGAGTGATGTAACTAAAATGTGTGTTAGACAGAGTTAGATAAGGGAAGATATCAGGTATATAACGCACAGATTAGTGTGTTTCAACAATGATAACGGGGATCAATGTTTTACAAGAGTTTCTAAAGAGATTGTAAACACTTATCTATGATATGATGATCCTACAATGTCAACGAGTCACAGACTCCAATTGGCCTTGCGATATATACGAACGATTTAAAGATTTTTCTCTGCGATTGAAATACTCCAAGCCTATATACCTTGTTTTATGATTAACCCATATACAGTACACAATTTAAAGAAGGTGTTTGTCTTTATATTACGCTAAAACCACTGCAGCAACGATGGCATTTTACATAAAAGACAACAATCAATATAACCTAACCTAACCTAACCTAAGATTGAGGCCCTATTCAATATATTCAATATATCTATACTTATTTAATACGCAAGCAGGATTTTTGTGACAATTACTCCTCCGAAACTACTGAACCGATTGACATATTTTTGGTCTCATTGGAAATAGCGTAACGTGAAGTTGTGCAGGAAACTTTCTTTTAAGGGAAATAATTAGAGAGTAAGGCCATGGGGCCCTTTAAAGTTTCGTATTTCTCCATAAGAATAACATGGGAAACAAACATTGCTATGAAACTCCAGCTGTTGTCAGAAATTAAAAGTCAGAAGAAGAACATACTGTTAATTGTAAACAGTCAATAAGTTTGCTAAGCAGTTTGCTACAAACATTTACTGACTTTGTTGAAATTAAATATTTACTATTTTGATTTTGGGCTGGCGTAAATATTACAATGGAAAAAATCGAGAAAGCCTGAATAAATTGATAGAGCCTACTAAAAAGAAAACTGAATCAACACTATGCTGCATTTCTTAGTAATCATTGAAAGAGCCGATTTGCAAACTATGGAAACATAGGAAAGTCATAGAACACCACCAAGGAGAAGAAATATAAATAATGTTTTTTTAAATTTATAATCATTATTATAGACAACCTAATGCGGCTAAGAGTAAGGCTATTTGTAGAAAACACTACAACACAAGATTGCTCGAATTCGAGCAACAGGGACACTAGTATATATTCAATCCAGAAATGATCGAAGATTCAACTAGCTTTGATAGTGGTTTCTGACCACACTATCGTAGTAAATAACTAGGGTTATAGAATTTAATTTACAAGAAGATGGCCTACAACATTAAATGGTTATTATAAATAAAATGGTATTTTACAACAATTCACTTCAATTGGATACTCAATTAATTAAAATCAGTTGTATTATTATCTATCTGACGACAAGCTTGACAAGTAATGCAATTTGTATCGCTGCGTACACAAATAGTTTCGATAACAGCTGCTGATATCAACAAAACTGATTGTTTCCAAACTACAATTTATAGCAAGGTAAAACCATCATCTGACTTTCCCTACTCCTAAATTTAATTTCTCTTGCGCTTAATCAGTTCTTTTGGCCACTACGTAGCTAGTTCATTTTAACTATTTTATTTTAACTACTGAAATAAGAAGTTTTTCTTAATTTTTTTACAAGTACAGTATCTTTCAATCTTTAAGTAACTTTTAGTGAAAGAGTTTTCCGGCACTTGCCTCAAACATTTCAGTCCTGGGTTTTGGCCTCGTACATGATATTAGGTGTTTCTTTGTATATGTTCCGGCTTTGCCTCATAAATAAAATTCCGAGTGCACGCCGGAAAATACCACTCCGTGCTAATTAAAAAATATACTATTTCACTTTACGCCTGTAATCCAGGTATAATTTATCAAAAACAAATCCTCGAGCCGACTCAATGAGTGGTGAGTTCTTGATGAGTTTATTATAGTTTTTCTTTAATAATAAAAATTGATAATGGAATCAACTTATATCCTAGTATTTATTTTGTAGAGTATAGTAATTAACATGTTAATAGTAATAAAAATCTTATACATATTTGAGATTTAGGATGGTTATATAGTTATGCGTTTGTAGTTAAATTAAAGCATGAATGTCTCATATTGCAAAATAATATAAATCTTCTAGACCCTGTAAGCAATTCAGATGGTAAACACAACTATCAGCGATTAGTAATGGCAAATACTTTAAGCTGTTTCTTTCTTATTAATCTGTGGATTATAAATATGATTTATCACATTCTTGATCTCTTGGTTAGCCTGAGCTGATAACCAATCGTGATCGCTCTTTTCTAACTGTATTCACGGCTAAATATAATCGGTAAACAATTATAAGTTTGACACATGTTTAACTAAAGAATAATTTCAACACTGATTAAAGAATTCCTTCTATATTTATGAGTATTTTTTGTTGGTGCTACATGGTTTATTATGAAGTTGTGTTTTTTCAAAACACTTTACAGTAATCCGGATATGACTGAGCATATTTTTACCAGTAATCAAATAATCGTTCAGTCCAATAATGCCTCGCCAGTGATAATGTCTAATTTCTACCATTCACATTCCAAAAATGCAATTATCTTTATTTTTTTATTTCCTATACTGCGCATAATGCTTACAATAGGACGAAGGGTTTTCTCACTTACCCAGAGGGCTCCAGGTATCGTTCTAACTTGTTCCGTGAGCCCAGTGGTGGTAACACTTTGTTTAGTTTGTACGATGATTTTTACCCTTTTAAAATACATGGCTATCAATTGTGGATCTATAATTGTTTAAACCATGTTCTCTTTTTACTATCAATGAAAAAATTAAATTAAATTAAAGTTCAAACCATTTGTTTTACCAAAATAAAATAGGAAAGGGCTACGTCGTAGTATTGTTCTATTGTGAGATTTATCTCCGCCGAGCTGATGTTGTTGAGCTACGCACACCACAGCACTCTAAATGTTTAGAAGTTAATGAAGTTATAGTTCCACATGTCGTATATCGTGTGGCGAGTTTGCCCATGCAACAGGGAGATTTATGTTCAGCTGTGAGTGAAGGGGTGATAGGCTACATACCGTACATTCTCTCCCCAGTGACATTGCGGAGTAATGTAGTTCCACTGAATCTACAAAGATACTTGCGCATTCCAAGGAACATTGGACTATGCGATACTTCACCGAGGGTCTTCTAACATAATCACTGTCTCATTTAACCGACAGTCGTATTTCACTGGGATTTCAGTTGTTCTAATAGAAATATACTTTGATATTACGGTCCACATTAGTTAATCTAAAGTAATGCGCGAATAATAAAACATACCAAATAATTTGATTGCAACACGCCTACAAATATACACAGAATTTAATAATCCCTATTATGTTTGTTTTGTAATTTTCAGTTTGTAAGGCAATTGAATAAACTTATTGCACCTAATTTTAAACATAGTAGTATGCTCTAGCTATTTATTCTGATTATTAGTCTTTCATGAATTCTACTTATAAAAATACTTCTTAATAATTAATATTTATCGACCATAATTATTTATATAAACTATAATGAATAGGTAATTTAGAAATACGCCACAAGTAGGTCTACAGTTTAAATAAAAAGAAGTGAAAAGATTGTTAAAATATGTTATAAGCTTAAAACAATTTTATTAATTAAAACTCGTATTAATAGTAACATTTTGTGTTGCGTGCTTAATCCCCAGTACATTTGAGAGGTATATAAACATAATATCAACGTTTGAGGCTTAATTAATTGCAATGGCACGAATATGTTACAAATACTAGTTCATCAAAGCTATTTAGAATATCATACTTAGGAGATATGATACATATTTCTACGCCATATCGTTAATTTACTACTCCCTTAACAAATTTTCTTGAAATCAAACTTGCAATCCATTTAATGTGGCTGTTGAAATGGAAAATCAACAGAATCTTAATTCTAAGAAATTTTTAGCATTCGATATTGAATCAGGCTTTAACAATGAACTAAAACCCTTTATCATTCGAGGATAACCGATTTATTAAAACGTATTTATTAAACTAAAAATGCAATTTTCAAATTGATTCCTGAGGTTTAGGTAAATTTTTCGTATGAATCAAAAACCGTTCATAAATTTGACTATTCTTTACGTTTCTGACATTTAGAAGGTTTTATATAAATTGTAAGATTGTAATGTAGTGTATATTTTACCTGGATAGTCGTAGAAGCTGACCTCATGATTTTCACCACACTACTATGACAAACCGATCGTGTAACATGAAGGGATAACAACTACTTTTATATCCAGTGGAATCGATGAAATTGAGACCCAAGTTAGACAAATTGTCCAATTACAACGCAAGAAATAATTTATACCAAACTTTGAAGGCTTACTTTCCTACTATGGCAATTGACATAATATTTATGGTGGCGCGTGCTTTGTTCACGATAACAATCCGTAGAGGGTCAAGAATTTAGCAATAGTTAGCATACAAAACGAAATGTTGCTTTATAAAGTGAGTCGTAATCATTTAATTCATAATTAAATGACTTTTTTCAATTAGATTGTTTTGCTTGGACTGTGATATTGTAAGTTTTAATTCTAATACCACAACCTAAAATATGTTATGATTTACTTGATACGAGAAGCTGAAATAAGAGGCATATTGTATAGTATAGTAAGTCTCATAAAATCAGCAAGTCACAAAAGAAACTAAATATATGGTTGCGCATTTTTTAATTGAAAATATTGAACCTGCATTGTGAAATTTGGTCTAATGAAAGGGTTTAATATTTAATATGTAATCTGATAAACTATCTTTTAAGGTCAACATTAATGATAAACACCTTCATACTAAGATAGATTTAAATTAAATATAGAAGTTGTATACTAAACGATAATTTATCTTATAATAAAAAAATGTGAATTATACTTACAGCGTATGCTAAGAAAAGTAGGAATCCACAAATCAAAACAGGAACGATGACATATATAGCTCCCCTCCATGATATTGCCATATTTAACGATATAATAATTAACACAACGATACCACCTTGTTTAACCTTCGGAATGGAAACAAAGAACCGAGAAAAAAAGACATTATTACTACCTTGTGAATTTGCATATGTTACAAACTAGACAACTATCTTGACGATAAATACTAAAAC